ACAGAATGAGACACTGTTAGAGCTGGGTTGGACCTTAGGGATCACTCAGTCCAGCCTTCTTGCTTTATAGCTGTGGAAACCCATTAGATTGCAAATGTTGAGACTAGGGCATATAGAAGGTCTATCTTTGTATCCATACCACTTAGCATTGTGGGTGTACATGGTAGTTACCTAATCCATATCTATTGAACTGACTCAAAACGGATGCCTATGAAGCCAAGTAACTTATTCAAAATCACCCAGGGACAGAGTTAGGACCTAGACCTGGGTTTTCCAGGTCCATTGCTCTTTCCATAGTATTAAAGATAAGCTGACCTATTTATAATGACTGGGGTGGGGTCCTTTTTTCTTTTAAAAAAGGAAAAGGAGGGGCAGCTAGGTGGTGCAGTGGATGGAGCGCTGGTACTAGAGTCAGGAGGACCTGAGTTCAAATCCAGCCTCAGACACAAAACACTTAGTAGCTGTGTGACCCTGGGCAAGTCACTTAACCCCATTGCCTAACCAAAAAGAAAAGGAAGGTATTACCTTTACACCCTTCTTTTTAATCTTGAGAAACTTCAGGTCTTAAAGGGCTCAATCAGTCTACAAGTGTTTATTAAAATGCTGTGTTCAGTCCTGGAGGAGCCCCATCTCTAAAGAGAGGGGGTCAGATAATCAGTCAACAAGCATTTATTAAGCACTTACTATGTACCAGGCACTGTCCTAAGTACCAAGGATACAAAGAAAAGCCAAAAGAGACCCTGTTCTCAAGCAGTGGTAACTTAGAGATAATCTCAGAAGGAAGACACTAGCTCTGGAAAGGTAGGAAGGGGCCAGGCTATAAAGAACTTTAAAAGCTAAACAGAAGTAGGGAGCCCCTGGACTTTATTGAGAAGGGAAGGGACTTAGCTGAACCTGCCCTTTAGAAAAATCACTGATTGCTGAGTGAAGGAGGGACTGAAATGGGGAGAAACGAGCCACTAGAAAGCTCTTACAACCCAGGTGTCAGGTGATGAGGGCTGGCATCAGAGTGGGGGCTGGGGTTTGAGAAGAGAAGGGAACATATTTGAGAGCTGTCTTGCTCAAGCTTCTTTTTATATTCTCTGGCTCATTACACCCCCAACTTGGAGTCCTGGGGAAAATCTCTTAAAACAGAATTTAGTTCATGTTTAGGGTCTTCTCCCCAAAGTGAATGCCAAACAGAGCATCTGGTATTCGGTTCTGGAAGCAATAGGGAGCCACTGGAGTTTCTTGAGTAGGGGGTGACACGATCAGACCCGAGCTTTAGGAAAATCACTTTAGTGGCTGAATGGGTGATGGATTGTAGTGGGGAGAGACTTGAGGCAGGCAGACCCTTAGCAGGCTATTATGGTACAGTCTAGACTTGAGGTAATGAGGGCCTGCACTAGAGGGCAGTGTCAGAGGAGAGAAGGGATCATATTCAAGAGATGTAACAAAGGTGAAACCTAGCGGCCTTGGGAACAGCTTGGATATGTGGGGATGAGAGACAGTGAGGAATCCAGGATGGCTCCTGTGTTGTGAGCCTGAGGGAAGATGGCTTTGCCCTGTGCAGTAATAAGGAAGGGGCTGGGAAGGTTGTCTTCAAAGTTAATAATGATCGTTAATAATGATAATGAATAAAGTTAAGAATGAATCGCTAAATGCAATGGCTTTTTCTCAGTTCTCCTTGTAGCCTGTGACATTATTGATCACCCTCTTTTCCTTGATTTTCTTTTTTTTAGACAATTGGATTCAAGTGACTTGTCCATGGTGACACAGCTAGTAAGTGTCTAAGGTGATTTGTACTCAGGTCCTCATGCCTCCAGGGCCCAAGCTCTACCCATTCTGCCACTTAGCTTCCCACTCTCTCCTGCTTTTCTTCCTCCCCATTTGACCGCTCCTTCTTTCTCTCCTTTGCTGGCTCCTCTTCTGGATCATGCCATAGGTGCCCTCAAGGATCTGTCTTGGGGTCTCTTCTTTTCTTCCTCCATACTTTTTCACTTGGTGACCTCATCAGCTCCCAGGGATTTAATTACCATCTCAATGCTGATGCTTCTCAAATCTACCCATCCTGCCCTAACCTCTCTGCTGACCTTCAGCTTCTAATCTCCAACTGCCTTTCAGACATCCTGAATTAGATGTGCAGTAGACATATTAAACTCAACATGTCCAGAACAGACTAGGTGATTTCTAAAGTTCTTGCCAGCCTTGACAATCTGTGTATCTTCGATTACCCTTTCCACAGTAATTTGCATTTTAGTAGGGGAATCTTGAAGATAAATATTCCTCAAGATTGAAAAACATGCCAAGGATCAACTACCCAGGGAAAATGAGCGTAATCTTTCAGGGGAGATGGATATTCAACGAAATCGGGGACTTCCATACCTTCCTGATAAAAAGACCAGAGCTCAACAGAACATTTGATCTTCAAATACAAGACTCAAAAGAGACATAAAAAGGTAAATGGGACAGACAGAAACAATATGTTATTAATAAGGGCAAACTATTTACATCCCTACAAGGGAAGATGACACTTGTAACTCTTGAGAACTGTATTATTATTATACCATGTTAAAGGGGTATGCATAAAGGGGGTGGGTATAAATTGACTTTGATGTAATGATGAAAAAAATCTAATCAAGTGGGTTAAATGGATCCAAGTAAGTGGATTAATCTGATCTAACTAAGAAAATATACTGAGAGAAAAGGAAAGGAGGAGGCAGACAAGGGTAAATTACATTTACGGAAAAGACACAAAAACCTACTATAGCAGAGGGAAAGAAGAGAGGGAGATGAGCATTGTTTGAACATTACTCTCAGCAGATTTGGCTCAAGAAAGGAATAACATAATCAGGTATAGAAATCTAACATGCCCTATAGGCAGTAGGAGGGAAAGGGGGAAAGAAAAGGGGGGGAGAGAAGGGAGGGAAGAAGTAGTAAAGGTAAAGGGGAAGAAAAGGGGAGGGCTAATAGAAGGGAGGTGAGACTGAGGTAGGCGGTGGTCAAAAGCAAAACATTATGGAGCTGGAAAAAGGAAAAAAGAGAAAGAAAAGCATAAATGGGGGGAAGGAAAGGATGGAGGGAAAGATACAGATCGTAATCATAACTGTGAATGTGATATATGAATGTAATGGAATACTATTGTGCTATAAGAAATGATGGACAGGCAGACTTCAGAAAAACCTGGAAAGACTTGTCTGATGCTGAGTGAAGTGAGCAGAACCAGGAGAATGTTGTACAGTAACAGCCACTTTGTGAGATGACTAATATTGATAGATTTAACCCTTTTCAGCAATAGAAGGATCTAAGACATCTCTAAAAGCCTCGTGATAGAAAATGCTATCCACATATGAAGAAAGAACTATGGAGTTTGAATGAAGATCGAAGCATATTATTTGCTATTTTTTCTCTTCTGTTGTGTTTTGTTTCCTCTTTCTGGTGGTTCCTCCTATTAGTTCTAATTCTTACGTAGAACATCACTGACGTGAAAATATGTTTAATAAGAATATATATGTACAGCCTATGTCAGATTGCGTGCTATCTTGGGGAGGGAAGGAGGGAGGGAGGGGGAGAAAAATTTAAAACTCAAAAGCTTAAAAATGAATAAATAAATACTTTAAAAAATGATTCAAAAACATGGAAGATGGTGGAATTTCAAGTGTGTTGCCTGGTTAGTAGGCAACAATTTTTTTGGAGGGGCTAGATGAGAAAGAATCCTTTAAAATCCACCAAGTAGCTATGTGGTAATAGAAAGAACACTGACTCAAGGGAGTCAGGAGACCAGATTTCTCTAATCTGGGTAACTCAGCTATTAAACTCTGGATCTTAAAAAAAAAAAAAAGTGGGCTTTGCCTTGAGTTAGGCAGACCTGAGCTTGAATCCTGCCTTAGACACAATTTTTTTTTTAGCTATATGACCCTAGGCTAAATTACTTAACCTCTGTCTTCTTCAGTTTGCTTATCTGTAAAATGGGGATAATAATAGCACTTCCTTCCTAGAGCTGTCATAAGGATCAAATGAGATAATATTTGTAAAACTTTTAGCACAGTGCCTAGTAAGTGCTACATAAATGTTAGTTATTTGTGTTTATTATTACTGTAAGGCACCTGACTTACAAAGTTGTAGTGAGAATCAATTGGGATAACACACGAAAATCTCTTTGCAACTCTTAAAGGCTATAAATTGTAAAAAGAAGGCGTGATCAGAATTGTTTTAGGGAGTTTCCTCTTCCTGGTGATCTCTTTATCAGAGAAATCGGTTCTAGCCCTTATCCCTCCATTGCAGAGGTGGAGGACCTAGGGTGAGGATTGTTGTAGATGTCCGGGTTGGTTTGAGAAACCGTTCCTCCCTCTCCGCCCCTTCGCAACCCTATCCTCAATCTTTGCCGCAGGAAGGGGGAGGTGTGAAGGGATCAATCTGAAATTGAATGTGATGTTGGGGGTAGCTAGGTGGCGCAGTGAATGGCGCACCGGCCCTGGATTCAGGAGGACCTGAATTCAAATTCGACCTCAGACACATAACGCTTATAACACTTACTAACTGTGTGACCCTGGGCAAGTCACTTAACCTCATGTGACGTGAAAAGACTTCAATAAACAAGTGAAAAGGAATGATCTTGGACTAACTAGTATCTCTGATACGCCTTTCAGTACCGACTTTGCCCCTCCGTCATCGTTTCCCCAGGAGAGTTAATTTGATGTGGGCTGGAGGGCAAAAGTCAATCCAATCTCAAGAAGCCCAGAAAGAAGAAGGCAGGGCGATTTCCTGGTGACGTCACTATAAACCCGAGGAAAGTTGCTTAGAAACACAGCGGCTTCAAGAAAGACACGCGCAGGCGCATTGCTACCGCAAGGCGACCCTTCGAGGGGAGTACGGAGTATGCAAAGAAGTCTTGGGGGAAGGCGGGGGTGGGGAGGGTTTCTCTGTGGACACGCCTCCTCCCTGTCCTTGGGGAGTCTGGTCTACGATCGGGAGACTGGGAGGAGGCGGGGTAGACGCGTTGACGTCACGGGGCACGCTGCGTAAACGTCAATGTCGGCGAGGTTTCCGGAAGCTGTGACAGGAGCTGCTCTGGAGGGGAAGATACTGAGCCCCAGGGGCGGGGGGCTGTGCACCTGACCGGGCCGCCCCCACCGGACCCGGGTGTGGTCCGGGTCCCGGTCCCGATCCCGAAGGGCGCAGACAGGCCCTCCTGGCCGGCCGCCCGCTGGTCGGGTACGTGGGGCTCAGGCTCCTGCGGCGGGCCCTGACTCTGTGCTTGCTCTCCTGGGGACTCCTCCCCCCCCCCCCCGCTTGTTTCCCTGTGCTTGGCTCGGCGGGGGGGCTGCACTGGGCCAGTGGGCGAGGGCCCCCGTCGTCGTTAGGGCTCAGGGCTGGAGTGACCTTAGCAATGCTGCCTGGTCTGTCTGCTTTCCAATAAAAACGGGTGGAGACCCTGTTGTTTTGGAAAGACCGCAGGGCCTGGGGGTTTGAATGCTGGCTCTCAGATTTGTTGGGAAAGTAGCTTACCTCTGTTAGTTTCTCTATCTCTAAAATGAGGGGGTTGGACCGGATCAGTTCTTAATCTTTTTAGGTGTCATGGACCCCTCTGGAAATCTGGTGAAGAATCAAAAACATTCAGAAGAATGTTTTTAAATGCATGAAATAAAATACATAGTATTACAAAAGAAGCCAATTCTATTGAAATAGTTATTAAAATATTAAACAAGTTCAGGGACCTCTGAACTAGGTGATTTCTGAGCTGACACTTTCCAACTCTTAAGATTCTCTGGACCAGGGGTGCATAAGCTTCTTGTCCAATTCTTTTTCCCCCTGCCCAGAACTGGTAGTGACTGGTGGGAGTTTTAAAGTTAAATGTTTTATTTTTTAATTCTATTTTTAAACCTTTTCCAACTTAGCTCTTAGATATTCAGGGAAGGTGGTATGTGGATCGTGGGAGGTATCCAGAATTTTGGAGTTGGGAGCAAAAGCTGTGCTAGATGGGTTACCCTCCTCTCTAGAGAAAGGATTTGAAGGAGTTGGTAAAGTCTCTTTGAACCTCATAAAGAGTATGTGTTGTTTGAAGTAATGACAAAGAGGTCCCAAGAAGTTACCAGGTTATCCTTTTGGGGAGTAGGAATGTAAAAATATCAGTATCTGTACGTAAATAATAGACTATCTAGAGGAACCAGATTTTTTTTTCCTATTTTTTCCCCTTACCTCCTCCTTTCCTCATTAATGTGTTGTGTTTAATATTTCCTTTTTAACTTAATGTAGGATGCAGTCACTAGAACCGGAGGGGTGTGGGCCTGAGGGGACACCCAGTGTTATGCCTGAGGCCCAACCTGATCCTCCACCTGCCCCACCTAAGCTTCCAGTGCTTGACCTCTTCAACTTGGTCCTGTTTTACAAGAGGCTTGTTCTCTACTTGGAGCCCCTCAAGGATGCAGGGGATGGGATCCTTTATTTGCTCAGGTATGGTCTTCATGGAGTAGGGGTATCTAGTATCCTGGACATTCTGCTTCCCTACTTTGTTGTAATGGCTGTTCAGAAACCTGGGCTGAATGTCACAACAGCTTCGATTTGACTCCTTGTTCTGAGCAGCCAAACCAGGTAGCCTGTTTTAGTCTGAAGCACTCAGTCAACAAGCATGTATTTAGCACTTACATTATGTGCCAGGCACTGTGCTTAGCACTGAGGAGTCCAAGAGGTGTAGAAGACAGTCCCTGATCTCAAGGAGATCCCAGTCTAGCATGGGAGACAACATGCAATATAGCATATTGATTTTTTTAGTGGATTCTTTTTTTTCCTCCTAGAGAAATAAAACTGAGGATGTGGAGAGATTTTTTAATGGAGGATCTTGGGTTAAACCCCCTCCATCCAACTCTTTGGAGTCTGTGATTTCTGTACCTTTGGGAGCCTGAGGGTATGAGATAAGCCTGTTCTTTGGCTCCCTCTTCCTTTGCTAGTAAAGAGCACTTGGTGTTAAAAGGGTTTTAACCTTTGGTCTGTAGTGATGACATCAGATCCATGTAATCAGCCATAGTTTCCTAAAAGGCACCTCTTCTGTGAGCAGCCCTTCCTGTGGGTAGTAGCTCTGACACCACAAAAGTCTTCCTGAAGGGGGAAGTTAGCATGGAAGAAGCTTTAATGATAGAGCAGCTTCAGTGGGAATGTGGTGGTTTTCACATGGTAAAGAGGTTGAGGTTTCCGGATTAGTTCTAAAGAGCTTTCTTATGTCCTATCTACTACACCCTTGTTAATTGCTATGTCCTACCTACTATACCCTTGTTAATTGCTATTACATAATCAGTGGGTCTTGATTAAGATAACAGGCAGTAGTCAGGACACTAGATACAGCTTTCAGAGAGATACCATTCCAGAGAATCTCAAGTGTTTTTTTTTTTTTCCCAAAGAAAACTATATTTACATAAAAGCAGAGAAATTAACTTTATTTGGAAAATTAGATCCAATTAGGTAGAATAAATAGTACACGTTGTAAGACTAATCAATCTTGAATGTCTTTTTGTATTTGTTTATATTGCTTTTGGCTTCCATCTCTGCTTCTTTTCATCTACTTTTTTTTTTTGAGGTCGGCAATGGGGTTAAGTGATTTTCATCCACTTTTTATCCCTGCTGGGCACTGATTACCCTATGCTCACAATCAAGATATCACATGGCAGATATCCTGCTCTTCTGAGTCTTTTCTTTACAGGAACTGAACTTCCTTTTAAAGGAAATGCACGTAACTGCTCTGTCTTCCCCAGGTACTCCTAATGTTCTCAGTTAGGGTCCCTTACTTCAGGAGAATGATAAAACCTGCCTTCATAGAATCGTGAAACTCTGAATTACAACGGACCTCAGAGGTCATCGGGTCCAGTGCACTCTTGAATAGACCACACCTGTATGCATTGATTTAGTCTAGGGGGTCCTAAACCTTTTTTGTGTCATAGACCTCTTTGGCAGGCTGGTCAGCCTGTGGACCCCTTTCTTAGAAGAATGCTTTTAAATAGTGAAAGAGATGTCAAATTTCAGATGGAGGTTACTGAAAAGAAAGGTGTAATTTTTTTCCCATCCAAGTTCATGGACCCTCTGAAATCTACCCACAGATCGCTGGTTGAAGCACCCCTGCTCCGGTCGCCTGAGATGGTTGTTCTTCTCATCACACGGATTAGTAGTATGTGACTTGTTCCCCACAGGTCTCCTCTCCTACCCCTGACATACTTACTAGGCCTCCCTCCTCTTCATGCCCCTTACTTGACTCAAGGAAAAGTCTGTTCATTACTTACCATTTCTCTTCAGTCTCATGTGTCCTGTCTTTGCTGCTTGCTGGCTTGGTGCTACCATGCAGGGTTTGCCTTCCTTTCTGATATTCTGTAAGAGGGAATGGAACACCATCTTTACTGATCCAGGTTTTCTGTGTTGTAGGTGGCAGACACCAGTGTGTTCCTTGCTGACCTGCCTGGGCCTCAATTTCCTCTTCCTCACTCTGAATGAGGGTAAGCACTGGTTTGGAGGGCTGAGGTAGGGCCCACATATTAATGAGAGGTAGAAAACCTGCCTGTTGGGGGTGAATAAGAGGTAACTTCTCCTTTCACTTTGATGTCATTGCCACATGGAAGTATTTAATGTGCTTAGAATGTGCCGAGGAACAAGGGCAGTGTCCTGTCCTTGCTCTTTTTTATGCCAAACAGCTCTTCTGGATGGACCCAGGGCCTCCTTCCATCTTTGCTTCCAAAAAGCTGATTCATCGAGGCCAACAGCATTCAGAATAGCAGGTAGAGGATTTTTGCTTTATAGAAACAGAGTAGGATCTGGAGACAGGAAGAACTGAGTTCAAATTCTGCTTCAGACACATGCTAGCTGTGTGACTTTGGGCAAGTCACTTAACCTCTATTTGCCTCTGTTTCATCATCTGTAAAATGGGTATAATAATAGCACTCACTTCCCTACAGTTACTGTGAGGCTCAAATGAGATGCTATTTTTGCAGACCTTTTTAAGGGCTCTCTAAATGCTGGCTATTAGCTATTGTCATCGTGCCATTGGTCTGTGCATTAGCAAGAACGTGAACAAGGTCAGGGAATGATTGTCATTGAATGGAGAGTCGATTAGCCCATCAGTTGTGGAAGCTTGAATCAGGCAAGGCGCTGATCACATGTACCCAGAGGAAGTTGAAGCTTGAAGTTTTTGGAGCATATAGATGATCAGATGAACAAGTGTACATCAGAAAAGGATAGCGGAAGCCGGTTGTGGCTGCATTCTGGATGGCAGCCTTATGGGAGAGTTTTCGGGCCGGTATTATTGTACGTGAACCTTTTTACACATGTTAGCAGTGCTTCCGGCTTCATCCAGGTAACTGTGGAAAAGGGAGAACTAGGGCACACGTCAGTCTGCGTCAAAAGGGACAGAGAGGAATTGAGATAAAATGTACTGAAAAGAGTAAATTTAGAACTTGGGAGACCTCTCTTCCTCTGTTCTGATCCTTGCTGAGAGATCTGCTTGGCTGATTAGAACTCGTCTGTGGATGAATTCAGCAAACACGAAGCACCTGTGTCTGTTAGTGTGAATGATGTACTGAGCGCACAAAAGTGAGGAGTGACACAGTCACATGATCACATGTTCTTAGGGTGGTAAGGGCCCCCAAGATCACTGAGTCCAACCCATACTTGAACAAGAATCCTCTCTCTAACATCATCAACAGATGGTCATCCATCCTGGGCTTGAAGACTTCTGTTGACTTCTTCAGTCCACTATCTCCTGATACTCTAATTGTTAGGAAGGTTTTTTTTTGAGGTCGAGTTAAAATCTGCCTCTTTGAAACTTCCACTTGGTGCTGTACCAAGCAACCAATACCTGCCTGATCCCTTTTCTCTGTGCCAGTTCAAGGACTTGAAGACAGCTATGTTTTGCTGTCCCTTCTCAAAGCTAAACATTCCCAGTTTTTTCAAATGATTCTCATATTCTCTTCATCATTATAAGTCACCCTCCTTCAACTGTTTGCCAGCTTCTCATTGTCCTTCCTTAAATAGGGTTATCAGAATTGAACAGAATACTCCAGATGTTGTCTGAGTGGGGCAGAGCGTGGTAGGACTATCGCCCACTTAGTCTGGGACACTGTGCCCTCCTAATGCACTCTGGTATTGCATTAGCATTTTTTTAATCTGCCAGATGTCTCTGTTGACTCATACTGATTTTGCAGTCCACTAAACCTGCCAGATATTTTCAGATGAACTGTTATCCAGCCATGTCACTCTACTTCCCCCAAGTCTTTGTGAAGTTGAAATTTTAAACCCATATGTAAGAATTTACATTTATACCTGTTAACATTTCTTTTTATTTAATTTAGTCCACTATTCTATTTGAGATCCTGACTCTGTACCCTACTGTGTTAGCTATTCCTCCTAGCTTTGCAAAGTTGATAGTCATGCCGCCTGCAATTTTATACAGATTGTTACTAGCAATGACACAAGGGCCAAGCACAGATTCCTGAGACACTCTACTAGAGACCTTCCAAAGTGACGTGGAGCCATTAGTGACTTCTTTGAGGCTAGTCCTTCATCATTTTCTAACCCACTTCACTTTCATCTCTCCATCTTGTCCACAAAAATAGCACGAGTGACCTTGTCCAATGCTTTGCTATAATCCAGGTAAACTAACACTGTAGCAGTTCCCTCACTTTCTTGTCTAATAACTGTCAGTAAAGAAAACAAGATTAATTTGTTATGATTGTGTCATTAAAATTTTTTTATTATTAACTTGATCAACAAATATAAGACATTTCAGTGTGCAAAGAATAACAAAAAGAAGACTATATAAAACTGAACTTAAAATGTATATTGAATTTCACAGAAGTAACAAAATTGCTCTCTTTGTTGTCCCCTTTAGAGTGTATTTAAAAAAAAATGTTTTATTGACATTAGCTGGCACTTATAGAATAATTTAAGGTTTACAAAGTGCTTTCCAAATATTATCTCTTTTGATCTTTACAGCAACCCTGGAAGGTAGGTGCTATCTTCGTTTTAGAGATGAGGAAACTGAGGCAGAGAGAGGTTAAGTGACTTACCTCAGGGTCATACAGCTAGCAACTTTCTGAGGTTAGATTTGAACTCAGGTCTTCCTGACTCCAATATCAATGCTTTATCCACTTTGCCCCCTTTCTTTCTGTCTCTCTCTCTTTCTTTCTTTGCTGGCATTCTTTTCTCTTTCTCTCTCTCTCTTTCTTTCTCTCCTTTTTTCTCTTTCTCTCTTTCTTTTGCATCTCTATCACTACACAGTAACTCTCATATGAAAGTCCTTTCTTGTAACACATAAATATGATCATTCAAAACAGAAGTCAGCATATTGACCATGTCAGAAAATGTCTCATTCTGTACTCTAGTCCCTCAGCTCTCCAACAAGGTGTATATGGCTCTCTTCCTCATCAATCTGCTGAGTTTGTGATTTGTAACTGTTGACCTGAGTTCTGTCTTTCGAAGTTGTTTTGTGTTATTTTCATCATCATTTGAGTTGTTTTTCTGGTTCTGTTCAAGTTACCCTTCATCCGTTTATGCAGGTCTTCCCAGATCCTTCTGGATTGGTCACATTGGCCATTTCTTAGAGTGCAGTAGTAATAATCCATTTCATCCATAAACCACAATTTGTCCAGCCGTTCCCTGCTTGGTGGACACCTACTTTGTTTCCAGTTCGTAGCTACAGCCAAAAGTGCTGCTATAAATATTGTTGCCTGTAATGGGTCCTCTCCCTTTGTCCCTGATCTCTCTGGGGTATACACTTGGTAGCCACATCACTGGGTCAGAGTGTGCGCACGGGTTAGCCATTTCTTGGCACGGTTCCAAATGGCTCTCTGCAATGGTTGGACCAACTATCAGTGCATTAGTGCCTGTCCTTCCACATCTCTTCCCAGCACTTGCCATTTTTGTCTGTTGTTGTTGTCAGTCTGATGGATATGAAGTGGAACCGCAGTTGTTTTAATTTGGTTGTCTTTTAATTATTACTTATTTGGAACATTTTTTTCCCTTGTGGTTTTTGGTAGCTTTAGTTTCTTCATTTGAAAACTGCGTGTTCATATTCTTTGATCATCTCTGTCTTTTTTTTTTTTTACTTAGTATTTTATTTTTCCCTAGTTACATGTAAAAACGATCACCTCTTTCTTGATGCTGGCTTTTTGTTATGACTGCCTCCTTTGCTGTATGGTCCTTAGCCATCCCTTTAATAACAGATTAAGGAATTTTAACTGGTTTACCAGCCTTTAGTTTGGAGTCTCCATTTGTTTCCTTCCCTTTTTCTGGATGTCGGGACAACTGTTTTTCCTTTTCTAGTCCTGCAGCCATTCTCTTGTTCTTCATGTTTTAAAGATCATTGATAGTGACTCAGTTAACACATCCACTGTCTTTTCAGCTCGCCAGGATATTGTTAAGTTGGGCTTAGTCACTCAGTCTCATCAAGGCCTCTAGGGTTTTGCTTACTATTTTCCTACTTATCTTGGCTGTCACCTCACTATTAGCCATATTTGTTTTGCCCTTTACAGTCAAAAGAATAGTTTTCTTGGCAGAGAAAAAAGAAGCAAAGTAGGAATTGAGCAGCTCTTCCTTTTGTCTGTTGTTATCTTTGCTGCACATGCCCTGGGTGTTGGGCTTGTCCTGTCTTGGGTTTTCTTTGCTTTTCTTTTTTCTGTTGTTTTTGGCTTTCCTTGCCAGCCTCTGCTTGTTTTGAGCTTTAGCACTCCTGACGCTGCTCCTACAAGGCCATGCCATGCTTTTGCATTTGACCTTCCTTGCTTTCATCTTTTACGTATGTCTTTAAAAAAATCTAATTTGATAAGTTCCGTATGCATCCACATCCGTTCCCATAGCTCTCCTTGTGTCTCTTTATCAGAATTTGTTTCCCCTCCCTCAAGGAGCTAACAGTTGAGCCAGATGAGGAGACACATTCACATAAATAATCATATTTTGACTTGTATTGTAATTAAGTACAGAGGAGAAGTGTTGACTTTTTTGAATCATTTAGTTAAGGAGGCTTTGAATTACAGGTCAAGTGGATTATCATAATTCATTGCTGGCCAGTCTTTATCCCCTTTCATCTGAAGACAAAAATAGTGCCTTGAGAGTTCTGATAGACATTCAGGAGCTCCTGGAAGACAGGAACTGATGCTGAAACCATAGGGAGAATATCTGACCCTAACTGGTGTCCCAGGCAGCTGCCGTGCCCTGGGATGCCCCATACCCCTGAGAGTTAACTCGTCTGACCTGCTGCTTTCTCGCCTTTAGGTGCCTGGTACTCAGTGGGTGCCCTGCTGATTTCTGTGCCTGCCTTGCTGGGCTACCTGCAGGAGGTGTGCCGGGTCCGCCTCCCTGAGCCCGAGCTGATGCGGAGGAAGTGTCACGGTGTGCGGCAGGATGATCTGCGGAAGGTCCGGCTGTCACGGCCTGAGGCCGTGGCAGAGGTGAAGAGCTTGTGAGTATGAGACATGAGAGGGAGATGACTGGCGGGGCGGTTGGGCCGAGTGATACCTGGCCAGAGGATGGTCGGGCCGGCTCTCGGGTGTCAGAGGGGGAGCCCGAGAGCGGGAGAGCTCGCGGAATGGAAATGGCTTCACTGCCCTCCTTCCGATTGTTCCTGGCTCCCTCACTCTTCCGCTGTGTTTGAAGAAGGCCATTGACTTCTGCTCCTGGGGCTCACTAATGAAATGGAGACACAGGCTCCCTGGCACCTACGGGTGCCCCTCATGGCTGCTTCTCTGTGCCTCCACAGCTTGATCCAGTTGGAGAGCTTCTTGAATCAGTTGTGCTGTAGGTGTGAGTCGGTCTATCGAGTGTTGTACTGGGAGAACCCAGCAGTGTCCTCACAGTGAGTCCCATCTTTCCCTCCTTGCTGGCGTCTCTAGCTCTTCCAACCCCATTGGTGCTCTGGAGAGGCATAAGAATTAGGAGTCAGGAAGCTGGGCTTCTCCTCCTGGCTCTGGCCACAACTGTTGTGCAACCTTAGGGGCATTATTTCTTCTTACTCAGTTTTTTCACCAAAAAAATGGGGCGTTTGGGCTAGGTGATCTAAGGTCCTTTTCCGTTCTTTTGTTCTGTGACTAATAGAATCAGCATCAATGAGTTTTCAGCTTTAGACCTGGGAAGAGCTGGTTGGCTACCTCATGGGGAAGGGCAGATTAATTTCTTCAGTAAGGGGAGAAGGGAAGCTCTCACATCTACACGCACTGTGTGTGTGGCCATATGATGTATCCTTGGGCAGAGGTGCTGAGAGCTGAGCTTCTGGCTTTGACCTCCTGGCTGGGGTGAACTCAGAACTGGGGCCAGCGGGTGCAGTGGAGAGCTTGCTGGCCTTGAAGTCAGAAGCCCTGCCTTTGGTTGCTGACTCTGATACTCTCTGTGTGACTCTGGGCAGATCACTGAGCCTCTCAGCCCCTGCTTCCTCGTTTGTCAGACGGCGCTGGAGTGGCCCCTGTCTAGCCTTGCTCACAGCGTGATTGTGAAGAAGGCGCTCTGCAGGTGGTCAGGTGCTGTTACGTGACCTTGCTCTTCGACTTCCTCTTGCAGATTCTATGGAGCCCTGTTGGGATCCGTCTTTGTGCTGTATGTGTTACCCCTGTGCTGGGTCCTTGCCCTTCTCAACAGCACTCTCTTTCTGGGAAATGTGGAGTTCTACCGAGGTGAGTGCTTCAGGGGGGTCCGTATAGCAGTGGCTGGGGCGGGGGGTACCTCTTTTGGATGCTATGGAGAGCAGCTCTTGGAAGTTGTGCCTCTGTCCTGTGTCTGCTCCACCAGGGGGCAGCACCCTATCAAGGAAGTCCCTCCGCTCGTAGCTCCAGGATGGATGCTGCATCTCTGGGATACAGCCTCCCCCTGTGGCACATTGTCTCTGTGCTGAGGTTGACAGTAATAGAATGATTTACTTCTTATAACAGTCACTCCACCTACATTAGAGAACCTTTCGATGTAATGATCACCCTAGTTTGTCTGCTGCCTTGTGCCCTGACGAGACAGTCTAGAGACCTCTGAGTCATGGTATGCTGGTGCAAAGATGTGTGTGGGTTTTGTATTTTTGTGTTTTGTGAGGTGTTTGAGCCAAAAAATATCACATGGTAGCAAAAATGTGCTGGACCATTCTGTGCTTATCTAGACTGGTTCTTTAAAAAAAATAATTACTGATACATTTTATTTTGACAAGGCATTTCATCAGCAAACATTTAGAGAAAACCACCATCGAAGTACTGAAGTAGCTGAAAACAGTTACGCAAAACCATCCGAGAGAATGTTAGTAATAGCACACAATGTTTTCTCCTTTCAGCGTTTCCTGATTGTTTTTTAAAAAAAAATTTATTGATGTCTTTTGCTTTTATATCACCTGTGTGTAGCCTGATGGTGTATTCAATGGACCCATAGTCCCCCTCCTCTACAAAGAAGAGAGAGAAATTAGACTGGTTCTTCAGCCATACTTGAAACCTTCCAGTTTTGTAGTGCTTGCCACAGTTTGAGTTCTGTTGGCATAACTTGCAAGGACCCAGGATCACTTCCATCATCTAGATGAGGCCTGAGAGTAGGAATTTTGTGGATGGGAGAGGATTGTGGTTTCCTATGGAGGAGCATCCTTGCCGATGAGAGATCATAAAATCTAAATGTATATAGGTGCATCTGGATTTATCTTTCTCCATTGGGTATTCTTCTTCCCCAGACGCTTTGAGGTGAGAGGAGAAAGGTGAGAACGTTATTTGTAGTTAGGGGGTGGTTTGCTGAATTAAGAGTCACATAGGCTACTGATCAATCAGGAAGTATTAATCAAGGGCTTATTGTGTGCCATTCACTGTGCTAAGTCCTGGGGATACAAAGAAAGGCAAAAATAGGCCTTGCCTTCAAGGCACTAACATTCTGGTCCCTATGAAGAACTCTCTAAAGAGACTTTATTCTGTTTCTATACCTTTGTCTCGCTTGTCCCTGGATAGTAGTGGCAGAATACCGGGCTACCCTGCAGCAGAGGATGAACCCTAAGCTTTCAGTGAACACTGAGGGATGCCTGGAATCAGACGGCGGAGGAAAAGGAGCGTTGCTGGACTGCAGTTCAACCCCTACTCCCACCGAGGTGAGTGTCTAGCACTGAGATCCTTGGAACCTGCCCACCAGTGAACTTCCCTTAGTGATATGCCAACTGCTGTGTGTGGCTTCTTGCCTGGGATCTTTTGGAATCCTTAATCTCACTTGGCTCCATCCTCCATGAATTTCTTCAGGCTGAATTGTGGTTTGGTTCCTGTCTCTCTCATGAAGGTGCCTTTCTAAGTCTTCTATCTCAAAACTTGCTTCTTTAGCATGTCTGCTGCAGGAGCAGGCATCCTTGGCCATGCTGATCTGGCCAAGGGCAGGTATTCTGTTTTCTTAATGAGTGATGTTGGCTTCTCTACCTTCATAGATGATATCCTAGGCCTTTTTTCACAGGACCTCACACCAGGCAGTGTGGAGGAGGCAGAAGAGGCTGAGCCAGATGAAGAATTTAAAGATGCTATTGAGGTGGGTATTCTTTTGATAGAGCCCTGTATCCAGGAGTCCCTAATAGGTTAATAGCTTGGGCACTTCTGGTGTCTAGTTTCTTTTTATTCTCCCAAAATGAGGGGCTCAAATCCAGGGTTGTTCCTTCTATAAATTTTCTTGGTTCTTGGCTTCTGTGAGGTCTTAGGTGTAGTCTTCTTGTCCAGTTTTATATTACTAGGCAACCTTCATGGATAGCTTGCCAAATCTTTGGGCAAATATATTTCTTGTCAGTAGCTTGGTGGTTATTTTGTGAGAGTTGGATGGCTTAATGTCTTCACTTTTTTCTTTTTCAAAAATATACCAACCCATTGAGAATCCTCTTGAATAGGGTGGGGAGGGTCTTAGGGCTTCTGAGGGTAAGGAAAATAGAGTAAGGACTTCCCAGAGACTGAGAGTAGGTTTTAGAAAATGGGGAAGCATGGAGTAACCTCTCTGAGCCTCATGTAGAGCTTCAGGATGTTTGGCTTAGAGTAGTCCATATCTCGCAGCAGTCTCTCTCCTCTCCTTGCTGTCTGTCTCCTCTTCTTTTCTCTCCTTCTCCCCCCTGCACCCTGGGAGGCAGGAAACCCACTTGGTGGTGCTGGTGAGTATGACTGTATTGGTGGGGAAGGGATCTGGGGACAGGGTGGGTATTGGGCTAGTGGAACCTGTGGCCTGGCTTTGTGCAGTCTGCCCCATCTTTGGATTTTAGGCACGTGTCTCAGGGCCCAGTCAGCTGCTGGGCAGGGCTAAAAGGTACTGTTCCCACAGGAGGATGATGAGGGATCTCCCTGCAATGTGGAATATGATCTGGCCCTACACGACAATGGTTTTATGAGCAAGAATGAAGTGATTCGAAGCAAGGTGTCTCGACTCACTGAGAAGCTCCGAAAACGTTATCCCACCAACAATTTCGGTATTTGGTTGGAAGAGAGCAAGGGAAAGTTTGGGGCGGAGGAGGGAAGTCGGGGCTGAGAAAGTGGGTGATATTTAGTTCCAGAGATTAAGATTTGAATATTAGGTCTGGGACCCTGGAATTGGGACAGAGGCAGATCTAGTTTGGGGTGGGGAGGCTGAATTTTAGCTTCTCTTTACTTGTCCTTAGAGATTGAACATGAGTTTTCAGGGAGGTAAGGAAATTAATACCAGATCAGGCAGTCCCAGAAATTGTAGAATAATTTGACTCTGAGGTGAACTGTATTTTAGGAAGGCCTGAATTCTTCTAGAAATACCTAGGACCCTAATTCACCTGTTTGGTCCTAAATGGAAACAAGGTGAAGCACATAGCTTTTTCCTCCGGGGACTTAGCTCATTGTGTGCTTGTGGAATGACTGTTAACCTCAGGTCCGTGTATTTTGGTCAGCCCTTAATTTGTTGGGGAAGGGGTATGTATGGAATCGCAGGGTGTGCCTGGCTGTGCTGCTTAGAGCCTGGCTTAGGACGCTGATGGTGAAGGCTAGAGCAGCTCGGGTTTCTGGGCACGTGAAGGATCTTCACACCTTGGTTCCTTCCTGTTGATAAGCCTTGGCTGAGAGGTCAGAAAGGCAGCCTTGTTTCTCTAGTACCCACAGCAGCCACAGCACCCAGGACGGAGCAGATTTGGAGGGAGCTTGATTGAGGAGGTAGCCCAGACAAGCTACACGAGCTAGTGGTTGGCTGACTTAGGAAATGAGTTAGTGACTAGAAGAGTCTGATTTCCTCTCCTTTCAGTGGCTTGATGCATAAGGACCTCTTTCCCTTCTTTCTCAGGTGCCTTGTATCTCACTTCCCTGTTAGTGTGTGTGACCTTGAGCTTACGTTTCTTCCCTGGGAGAGGAGAGGCCTTTCTGGGGCCACGTAGCTTGCAAGGGGAGCCAAGCCTCTCTGAGGCCATCCTATTGCATAGGCCTTTTTGTGTCATCTCCATACCACACCCCCTCCCACCACCCCAATCCTCCCCCAGCTTTTGAGCTGTATGGGCACTTGAGCAGTAGCCCTGGGCCTACTTGGTTTATTTCGGTTCTGAGCCGAGGAGCTCCTTCTCCCTGGTCTGATCGACTTCTGGGTTGGCCATCCACTGGAGGGTGCTAGAGCTGCTTGGGAAGTATGAGCAGGAGCTAACCTTGGGCTTGAGCCTGGATTTAGGGTGAGAGAGAGGAAGTCTTAATTGGGTGAATTCCTAATCTCTCTGACTTCATATTTACCTTAAAAAAATCAGTTATTGTTTTAGTGCCAGGAGGTCTTGCTTGGGCCCTCATATTTTTCCCTGTTCCTGGTGCCTGCTGTGTGTCATCACACTGATTAATAGAGATAGGAAATATTTATTTGGTTGGAGTCAGGGTCTTTCCAAATAGGGGCAAAACCTTTTTTTAGGCTTTGAAAGAAAGCCAAGGACCTTTTATTCCTCTCTGATCCCTCCTGTGCTGCTGCCAGAACTTCTTGTCCTTGTGAATATGTAGGGGTTTCACCAACTTCTCTGACTCTACACTAAACTGCTTGTTCTTGCAGCCTTGGTAAACGTAGAACAGACCCCTGTGAGGAGAATATTCCTAGAAAAATGTGCTAGAGCTTTGAATCTGACGGGCTGTTCTTAGGGCAGTTCCCTTATCTCTCCCTTCATCAGTGATGGCAGAGAGGGACTGTCTTTTCTAAGTGGCTGGTGGTAGTGTCATGGCCTAGACTAGAAGTTTGGGTGGTTTCCTAATTTGGCATCACATGTTAGCATCAGTCTCCTCCCTGGTTTGCTACTGGGGCTAACTGTTTACTGACAGTAGTGAGCCAGCCAGTCAACAGGCATTTATTGTTATTATTATTATTACTGTCTGCCTTGCACTGTGCTGAGCACTGTCAGTGCAAATACAAGCAGAAAGAAACATAGTCCTTGCCCTCAAAGAGCTTACATTCTAATGGGGAAAGATAACTGATAAAAGGGAGCTGAAAAGCAGGGGAAGACAGGACCTTGTAGAAGGGGCCTGGTGGGGTTGGTTAGCATTATAGAGAGTCCTGTGGAGCTGAATAATTGGGGCAGCCTGGGAAGGAATGAAGACCTGATTGGCCCAGGACTCTTTAAATTGGCGGTTCTGGGAGGAAGCAGTCCATCAGAAATGGAGATCTGTGGGGCAGATGGTATTTCCAAGGGTAGAGCGAGCTTGTCCATTAGGGTAGAGAAGCTGCTGTGGAGCATCAGAGAGAGCTGAGTCAGCATTTTTGTCAGGGGCATCGAATCTGTCCTTGTGTCCTTGCCACTAGACTGAATTCTCCAAAGGAGACTCTCCTTTCTTCTGGTCTTATGGGCCCTTAGGACTGGATGGGTTTCTGGTCATCCTCTAGGGACAGATCCAGTGTGGCCATCTCAGAGTAAGTACATCTCTGGGCATGGTGCTTCCTCCCTCGTGGCAGGAGCATGACCCCATAGGTCAGGTGGGTGGATCAGGAGGAGCTCTCTGGCTGTGTGTGAGAAAGCTTGCAAGAAAACTGGGGTTCCATTTTTTTTTATTTTTTAAAGCAAGCTTTGTTGATGCCCTTGGTTTTTTGTTAGTCGTTTCTGGATAGAAGTCCCTCGTCTCCATTCTCTCCCTCCAATGAATCCTCTAAGCAAGAACATTTAAGTGAACCTGATTTCGACAGTGGCCCCATCGGACAGTGCATGCCACATTCTGCACCTGTGGTACCCTCCTTTCTGGTCTCCAGTTTCTTCTTGAGAGGTGGGGCCCAGCTGCCTTTTACCAATCTCCTGCTTCCCTGGCTCTTGCCTTCCATTACAGTTAGTGCTGTGATCCTCAGGAGGAAATTCATAGGCAGCTCTCCCTCTTGCAACCCTCTGACATGTCTTCATTTCTGCTTCCTCGTTGGAGTTATTGTAACTGAAAGTCACTGCCCCATTAACTCACCCCAGACCTTATCCTGGTGTGGCCTTTTAATCCTGCCCTTCTACCTGGGTCTTCCTTGAGTGCTGATTGGCACCCTTTTACAGGCTTTACTTCCAGCTCCAGTCTACTTCTGCCTTCATTCATCGGCCTTCCCACGGGACAAGGGGACTGGTGGGCACTGAGAATGGTTGTGTCAGGTCTGCCCTTCTTAGTCCACTGTTGATCAGTTGTAGCCTGGGCAGAAGGACTCTTCCCCTCCTCTGGCCAGTTGGATATCTCACTCCCAGTCTTAACTTCTCTTCTTTATTACTGATAGACTTATCTATTGTACCTTGGAACCTTGTGCTCTTCTTGTCTTGATTCTGACTTCTTAGAGTAGCTCTCTCCCCTCCGGCCTTTTTTCTTCCCTCACCCTCATTTCTTCCAGTGTAGGAATATCTTTCCCAAAGATATTTGGGAATTTGAATCACAAAGAATTTGAATTATTTCTGGGAATTTTCAGGGTGAGAGGGATTAATGGGACCCTCAGATTGGGTGGGGGGATTGTCACCTTAAATATAAGCATAGTGGTCTGCAAGGAGCAGCCCTGGGAAGTGGTCAGTTTTGGCAGACAAGGTTGCTGACACTTTTCCTTCTGTGTGAGAAGCCTACACATTCTCCACACTTTGTACTTCTGAAATGCCGCTTGCTCCCAGACAGAAACCCCATTTTGTCAGGGCCTCCTTTTTGCTCACAGCTTTCCAAAGTAGATACCTTAAGTCAGGAACCTGGTAGGCAAGTGACTTCTTTAGGCCATGACGACAAAGAGACTTTCATGGTGGGCGGGAGGGTTCATTGGGTGAGCAGGGCCTAGGGCAGGTGCTTTGAGGGCGGGGGAAATGGGTTTGGGGGGCATACAGTATCTTCAAGCCCCACTCATTCCTTCTCGGCTTAAATCGCTCCTTTGGCCCTTTGAGGAGGATATGTTCACCTGTGGAACTAAAGGTGCGTCTTTTAGCCACCTCTTGCCGGCCAATATGACTAGCTTGAGAAATTGTTCTGAAGGTAACCCGTTCAGGGAAAATAGGGGATACAGAGGAGTAAGTAGAGAGTCAAGAGGATTGGGTCAGGCGAGAGGATGACCTTCTGTCTCTTGTTTCTTAGGAAACTGTACAAGCTGCTCGGCTACCTTCTCAGTGCTGAAGAAGCGGGTGAGTCTTCCTTTCCTGTGATGTTGTGGGCCACAGGAGGTGGTGACCTCTTCTCAGGCCGTCCTAGGCTTGGTTCCCCAGCTGGTCCCAGGCTTCTGTATGGAGTGTATTGCTTTCCTGACATAGCTTCACGTTTCTCTAACATTTGTGTCTGCCTTATCTTCCTTAGGATTGCAGATGTAGTCTAATGCCCAGATGCCTTGGATACCCTCATATAGCATCTGGGCATTTGAAGTCTCCCCCTTTGCCACTGGAAAGATATTTAAACATAGGAGCAAGGGAAACAGAACTCCCACAGGGTGATTGCTAGCCTCACCTGGGCAAAGACCTGATGTCTTTACCTTGAATTTTGAAAACAGTCAACTAGAATTTGTTAAGCACCTAGGTACTGTACTAATTAAGCATTGGTGTTTAGCTTAATTAGAAATTGAGTTGGATTGGATATGATGAGAAAATTTTATAGTTTCCTTAACCCTAGATGCTCTTGTCCTTCCTATCTCCTTCCTGCCATCTCCTTGGTCGTTTTGTAAGACTTAACATCAAGATGTCCATCGATCAGATAAGGGGAGTAGAGGTCACGTTTGGGTCCTGTTACTGTCGTTCTTATGTGTAAGCATATTTCCAAAGACTAAGAGGACACTCAAATTGGCCAGCATCAGAGGGTTAGGATGTCACCTGAGAGCTCCTGAGATCTCTGGACACTGAGCTCCCTGGCCTGTTTCATTTGGGACTTGAAGTCCCTAATGGTTCCTTCCTTCCTTATTGTGAGACTGAAAATCCTTGGTTCCTTCAGTGAGCTCTCTGTGGGGGAGAACCTGAAACATGGGGGCTCGAAGGTAGACCTGGAGAAGATCCAGGTATTGGGAGCTTGTGGGGCAAATTTAATGGCATAGGAGCTAGGGAACAGGGCCGTGACCGTGAGGGAGAGACTCCTCTCATGATTGACTTAGCTCATCTCTTCACAGCGCAGCTGCAGTAACTGTGGAAACAGCTTTTGCTCCCGGTGCTGCTCCTTCAAGGTCCCCAAGTCCTCCATGGGAGCCACAGGTGAGTGAGCGTCCAGAGGTGAGTTAATGGAAAGGGTGAGGGTGAAGATGGAGACGGCTTAAGGCGCATGCTGAGAGAGATTTGGATCCAGTTACAGGGCCCTTGTTTACATTGGGTTTTGTTTTTTAAATTCTAACAGTGGATAGTGTGAGTGCTTGAAGTTGCCTCTGGTTCCTTGGGAGAGAGCATTGTTGTCATGGTGGCCATGAAATCCCCAGGATTTCTCAAGAACTGCTGTTTCCATGGAAAAAGAAATTCTAAATGCCAAGTTAGTAAGGAAGTGAGGGGCAGTGGGGCGGCCTGTAGTTAGTGATAGGGAGCGGCTGATCCTCCTAGCCATCTGCAGGAGCAAGTAAGAGATGAGGGTGTCTCCCTTTCCTGTGGCCTTGGGACTAAGATGGAAGTGTGGGATGCCTCTCACTGAATTCTTTCTTCTTTTCAGCCCCTGAAGCACAGAGAGAGACTGTATTTGTGTGTGGCTCATGTAACCAGACCCTGAGCAAGTGAGAAGAGAGTCCTAGGAGGGGCATTCGTGAGCCCATCCTGCCCACCCTCCCCTCCTGAGCCTGCTCCAGAGGCTAGCAGTTAGAGTCTCCCCAGATACCTCATTCCAGTGTAGCTGGGCAGAGCTGGGTGTGAACATTGGATGGGTGCCTCCCCTTCCTTTCATCACCTTTGACATACCTGCCCTAGGGTCACTGATGACATTTCTAGCTTCTCTTTATATTCCTCTGGATGACTAGAATGATAGCTCCCCTCAAATCTCTGTGCAGGGTAACCCCTGGATTGCTAAAAGTGTCCTCTGCTACAGTGGACTGTAGGGGAAGCAAAATTGAATGGGAAATTAGAGTGGGCAGCAGTGAGTGAATTCCAAATCTTGGCCTGATTACTTGTAAGTAGGGCTTAACCTTCACCCTGTGGCCTTCATGATACTGGTAGTTGTGGAAGGAACTGGACCCCTAAAGCTATAAAGGAACCTTCATTGCACATTAGCTTGTAGGGACAGAAACACCTGAGTACTTGATCCCAGGTGGCCTTCCAGGAGAGCTTGTCTAGAGATGGTTGGGTGGTAGCCATAGCTCCCTGTCCGTGGCATTTCAATGCCCCTACTAGGGCTGCAGTTGCAGGCTGTCACCATGTGACCTCTGGGGCTGTAATTGTCAAGGGCGCAGAATGATGACTGTGGAAGACCAGTTAGAAGTCAGCCAGCTGGACATAAAGGCACTGATGAAGCCTTTATCATTGCAGCCCCCACCCCACCCCACCCCACCCCATTCTCACAATCGCTCCCTTGGAAAGTAAGATGGTGAAGGGAACTTCTGAAACCCATTTTGTCATTGATTCTCAGCTGTGTAGGGGCAGCTTGGGAAACTGGCTAGCTTCTTACCATTTGTTCTTATGCCTCAGTAGACTTCCCTTCTACACAGTCCCATAGTTTTTCCCTCTCCCTTTAAGTGGACTGTGGATCCCTTCTCCAGGTTGCCAAGACTCCTCTGCTGTATTATAGATGGGCTCAGAGATGTAGTGGTGAAGCCAGGATATTCCTTTGACCCTCTGTGGCCTGCTCATTAAAGGATTGTTTGATGCTGACCACACCTTTTTTGTTAGTTTGAGGCAGTTATCTGGTTTCTTGAGGACCAAACGGGCACTTCCCAGGCTGTGAGCCTGGTCAGGTTTTCTTTCTACACTGGCACTTCCCTCCCTCTCTTGGAAATATTTATTTATTTATTATATGGTTCTTGGGAACAGGGGGGCGTTGGGAGTAGATTAGAGAGGAGCCTGGGACTGCCCTTACCCTGAGACTATTCCTGGAACGATGAGGTTCCTTCAGACATAGGACCTAGGAGGATAAGGTATTTCAGGACTTCGCACCTTCCCCACCCCATTGCCTTGCCCCTCACCCCTTCAGTTGGAGGCTCCCCTAGGATACCCAGGGGTCAGCCAGATCTTTGTGCCTCCCTTTGTACCACCTCTTCCATTCTTTCCCCTTGGAAGTGAGAACTTGAATATACTGTGCTTTACACTGGAGGTGTGCTAAAGAAATCTCTGTGTACAGGGAGACAACAATAAAACTACATCAAGCCATTTGTGTTACTCCTCTCAGTTCTTCCGAAACCTTTACTCCTGAGGCTGGGTAAGTCTAACCCGAAATGCTTCCAATCCGACTCCGATTCTTCTGATCCCGCCCTCTGTTCTGTGCTGGGACCATCTGGACAACAGGGGCATTTTGTCCTTTGCTTAAGCTGAGACTTTTACTGACTTGTTCCTTTTGCCGTTTCCCTGTTTAAAGAGCTGCTACCACCATGACATGACTGTAGGCAGAGTAGCCATCTGGCTTGGGCTGGAGCCTAGGGAAGGTAATCTCTAATGCTGCAGGGGAGGAAGTTTGAAGTCCTCTCTCTGGGTAACTGGAAGAAGCGGGCCTAGATGCTCAGTCTTGGGCCAGGCTTGTGGCCTTCTAAGAATAAGATGTGGGGCTGGGGCCAGAAAAGGAGAACTAAGTAATGCAGGCTGTGGAGTGGTGAAAAGAAGAGCTAATCCTTGTCAAGACAGGCCAAGCAGAATTGGCTGGGGGCTGAGGAGACACTGGTCAGCAGCAGATGCTGGAAAGCAGGGTTGGGTGTCAGGTTGGGTTTGTGGGCAGTAGAAATGAAGATCAGGAAGGGGGTGGCCTTTTGTCTTAACACTGAATTCTAGTTCTTATAGCATGGAAAGGAAGAATAATGGGGAAGTGTGAGCTCCTTGGTAGCTTCCTGAAACTCTCCTGATCTGTCTCTGTATCACAAGAGCTTGGGCCAAAAGGGAAGGTGTGGTGAGAGTAGATTGAGTAAGGGGGTATCTTAGCTGGTTATGGGGTCTCTGGTTGGATGGTCTCTGGATTGGGATGAGGAAACCTGGAGCATGTGAAATTTCAGACTGGATGACACCGAGCCCCAAAGTCTGTCCTACAGATATTATCTGCACTGTTTTTCCTAGCAAGGCTCAAAAGCTGATTCACACCTCTTTGGAAAGTCCTCCATTGACCTCCTTATGCAAGAAGCTTTCACCTTGAGGCTGGGCATAATTATGAAGGAGCTACTCGAGTGATTTCCTCATAATCATTGGATTGAGTGGGGAATTCAAGTGGGCAGCAGTAAAGAAGGCCTCTTTTTGGTTTAATATTACACTTGGGACTTTTCTAACACTGGGAGAGCAAAAGGCAGTGGATGTCAGAAGAGGTACCTGTTGGTGGGTGGTGGAGGTGGTGGGAGGGAGGAATGCAGAAAGAAGAGCTGTAGACCCTAAGGACAAACCTGCAGTTTTGTCTAAAACTGGCCCTGTTTATCTTCAAGCTTTTTGGAGGTGCAGAAGCTGGGATTGGAGAATTTTTTTTTCATCACACATGCTGAGCTTATCAGGAATGTCATTGAGCCTTATGACAAAAGCCAGCCTTACTATTTTTTTTTAAATAAAGGACATTCATTAATTGAGGCATACATGCCTAGGGTAGCTAATTTGGAACAGGCCCCTGCTGTTATAGTTTGTGAATCTCATGGGCTGCCTGCTTACCATCATTTGAAGTGATTTTTTTTTAGTTCAGTTTTATTTTCGGTTCCAGATTGTCTCCCTTGCCCCTCTCCTACCCATTGAGAAGACAAGAAAAACAAAGCCCATTACAAATATGTATGGTCATGTAAAAAAAAAAAGGAAAAGAAAAAATGCTTTAATCTCTTTGAGTTCATCAGTTCCCAATCTGGAGGTAGAAAGCATATTTCATCATGAGTTCTTTGGACCGGTGGTTGGTCATGTGATTGATCAGAGTTCTTGAGTTTTTCACAGTGGATTGTCCTTATGATATCGTTACTGTATAAATTATTTTTCTGATTCTGCTCACTTCACTTTGCATTGGTTCATACAAGTTTTCCCAGGTGTTTCTGAAGCCATGCTATTCATCATTTCTTATAGCACAATAGTATTTCATCATATTGAAATTCCATAACCTGTCCAGCCATTTCCCAGTTGGTGAGCATCCTCTTTTTCCAATTCTTTGCTACACAAAAAGAACTGTTAGAAATATATTTTTGTATATATGGGTCTTTTTTCTCTTTCTTTGATCTCTTTGGAGTAAAGACCTTGTAATGATATCACTAGATCAAAGGATACACACAGTTTAATAGCTTTATGGGCGTATTTCCAAATTGCTTTCCAGAATGGTTGGACCAGTTCACATTAGTGTATTTGTTTTCCCACAGCGTCTCCAGCATTTGTCATTTTCCCCTTTTGTCATCGTAGCCAATCTGATGGATATAAGTTGGTATCTCAGAGTTGTTTTAATCTGCATTTCTCTAATGAGTGATTCAGAGCATTTTTATACGGCTATTGCTAGCTTAGATTTCTTCCTCTGAAAACTGCCTGGTCATATCCTTTGACCATTTATCATTTGGGGAATGGCACTTATTATAAATTTGACTCAGTTCCTTGTATATCTTAGAAATGAGACCTTTGCCAGAGAAACTTGATGCAAAGATTTTTTCCCCTAATTTCCTGAAAAATGATTTTCAAGGGGACCAAGAGTAGAAGTCCTTGGAGTATTAGATTGTAATCTCCATGAAGACAAGGACCACACTTTTTGTCTACCCCATTGGATTGGATTTGGATTGGATTTTGGGTCACCCTATGGCCTGGCACTTGTTTGTCTGGTGTCACTGTGGGCCGTTCAGTGGAAAGACCACTGGATTGGAACCAGAAGGCCCAGGTTCAAGTGCTTCCCCTAAAACTTTGTGTCTGGGTGATTATGGACAAACAAGTCACTTCACCTCTCTGTACAGTGTGATTTTTTTTTTTAACCCTCCCTGCCTCACAGAGTTGTGAGCGTGCTATTAGTGAACTCTGAGCACTTAGGTTGGTATTCACTCCCTTACTGGTGAATTAAGTTTCCATGATAATGAGTATATAAAAGTGTGGGGGAGTTGGTTTTCTTGCCTGAAGGAATTTACTACTTTTAGCTACATGCCCAAGTTATACTGCCAAGGACTAGCACCCTTAGTTTTGGTTTTTTTTTTTTTGGTGAGGCAGTTGGGGTGAAGTGACTTGCTTAGGGTCATACAGCTAGTAAGTTAAGTATCAGAGGCCAGATTTGAACTCAAGTTTTCCTGACTCCATGGCCAGTGCTCTATCCACTGTACCATCTAGCTGCTGCTAGGACCCTTAGTTTGGAGAAAGTGATGTCATCGGCCCTGACTAGAGAGAGTGGTGTGAAGAGACCTCTGGACTTGGGTTGGAAGCCCCACCCCAGGCACAAATGGTGTTGACAAGTTATTTAACCCCTTAGAGCCTGTAAAATGAGTATAAAAGGTTTGTATTACCTCCTTCATAGGGTTGTTGTAAGTAAGTACTTTACAAACCTTAAAGCATTTCCATGTGAGTTAGTTGTGTTAACAGTAGCTAGCATTTGTAGAGTGCTTTCAGGTTTGTAGAGAACTTTATGTTATCTCCTTTGATCCTCACAGTAACCCCTAAGATAGGCACTATAATTATCTTCATTTTACAGATGAGGGAGCAGGTCACATGTCTAATCAGTGTTAGGATTTGAACTCGGGTCTTCCTGACTCCAAGTCCAGGATACAAACTTCTGTGTCACCTAGCTGCCTCTGATGATGAAGATCCTGTCTTCTGCCTCAAAACTGAGTGCTCTCATAGCAAGAGATTTCCTTCTGCTACAGAGGGGTAGCAGAAGGATCAGCTGCTAAGGTCATTCTTTTGCTCACATCACCAGAAGCATCTCCTCTGTTCCTCTGTTCCCGAAGTGCCATCCAGGGCTTTGTTAGTTGGACCTTGATAGGAGAGGATTGTGTTCACTTTTGGTTATCACCATCAAGTGGATATGGAGAAATCCAGCTGCCCAGAACAGTCCTATGGACATTGTAGTTGAATTGAAACTGGAAAAGGTTCCGAGAAGAGCAGCAAAAAGAGCAAAGAACATATGTACTGTAGGAAAAGGAATTTGTTTTGCTAGGAGAAGGGACAGGTGAAGGGTTTATCTGATTACTGTCTAGGTGTGTGATGGTTTTTATGAAGGTCACAGAGGACAGATCTTTTTTATGTTTGGAAGAATGAACAGAAGGAAATGAGTGTAATTAATAATAAAAACTAAATAATAGCTCACATTTACAGAAGGTATTAAGGCTGCAGAATTC